CATTTGCAAAAAAAAAAAAAAGAAAAAAGAAAAAAATACAACATCAACAACAACAAACAAAATAACTGACTAAACTAATAAAACATATTATTTTTATTTTATCTATATATATGTTCAACCTCCAATGATATAAAAAATTAAATAACAAATTGTAAATACTAAATTTAATTTTACTATATAATTTTATAAATGCATATTTTTTTTAATTGAAATACGCATCCTAAAATTTATTTCTAAAATTGAAGTGCATATAACAAATACATTGCTCAAATAGACCGCATAATAATGATACACTAAATGCACATTTGTGTTTGTTGGGATGCACGCTATTGATTTAGGTATTTCATATATTATGTTTTTGTAACCACAAAATAGTATAAGAATATTAAATAAAATTAATAAAATATTAAATATATGTTTAATATAGAAAAAATAATTTATTTGAATAATTTAGAGTAATTCGGTTAACCGACCGAATGAACCAATTAATTCAGTTCGGTTTAATTTGGTTGGGATAAAAGTTCAAGCGGTTCATATTGCACAGTAAAGATAGAATCGGTGCACATTAGTGTTAGACAAACTGCACATTAATATCGTCCAGAATGCACAATATTGACCTAAACCGGCTTATCTAAAATTTTGGTTCAAATATTTATATGTCGATTCGATTGCCTGATTTTACTTTTAAAATTTTGGTTACGTCGATTCGATGCCAATTTTGTTTCGATTCATTTGTTTATGAAAGTTTGGCTAGGTTAATTCAATTTTTTATCATTTCAATCAGTTGGGTCGACCGAATCAACCAATTAATGACTCTAAGCGTGTTTCCATTTTGATAGTTTTGTGAACTTTTAAATGTGTAAGCGATAAAAAATTTAAATTGTGTTTAATATAATATTTTTTTTAATGTGCATATACTCACTCAATATTGTGCATTTCATTTATTGTTATTGTGCAAAGATTGCTCAAATTTACCAAACCATGTGCAACATATTAAACTTCAAAAAAATTGCAAATAGGCCAACTCTTTTTGTCTAATTTCCAACAAAAGAACCCCAAATCAAATATTCACACATCAAAATCATTCATGCAAAATCAAAATCGTCCCTGCAACACAGAGCCGCCACCGTCTTCCGGCCAGAGCCGCCGCCATCTCACACCCTGAACGCAGAGCTCAGTCGCCGGTTCCATCCTCTCTTCATTTCCGGCGACGAGCTCGGGCCTTCTTCTTGGATTGTTTTGAATGTTGCATCAATTTTTCGTCCGAGACCACGGCTGGTGCAACCACCGAGAGATGAGGGACACAATGCCGGTGGACTCTGTGACACATATGGTCGCGCGGCGGAGGGTCTTTGGTGCTCGTTCTCCGGCAAATTCACCCGCCTCTGCCAGGCTGAGGAGACGCGTCGGATTTGCAGGAACAGCAGAGCGCCCACCAATTCAGATTCGGAGCGGCGGCCTAAGGGCGACGGCGGGGACCGCAACCACGATGAAGGTCCGTAGGCAGAGGCACGCTCGATTTTTCCGGCGAGATGGTGCTGGTGACGACGACGGCCATTGATGATGAGTATGTGTTTGTGGCGAAGGCAAGTCTGTTGCGGGCGCGACGGCGAGTGAGGCGGCGGGTGGCGGTCCGGCAACTGAACAGTGCGTGTGTGTGTGTGTGTGTTTTGTGATGTCTGTGTGTTTGTGTGTGTGGAAGAGAATGAGGGAGGGGAGTAGGTGGGTTGATTGGCACGATATTTGTGGAGGAATTAATGTGTGTATTGGTGGGTGGGTCCCACCTGCTATTAGGTTTAAATTAAGTATTCATATTATCCTTAATTATTGGTCAAACACACATATTTGACCATAATATTATCTAATAATTACTAGAATGCCATTAATGATTGACCATAGTTTGACTTCATCATAACCATTGACATCATTGATCTTAAGGTCCATATTCATTCTCGTTTATTTCATTATGCTCCTTTCTCATTTGAGCGCACCCCTATATATATATATATATATATATATATATATATATATATATATAGGGGGTGGATACAGTGAGACCACTCCTTAAAATGAGTACGTGAGACTCAATCTTAGCCATTCATTTGTGCAGATCAAGGTCTCATATTAATCAATTGAAAAATATATTAATAAAATAATAAAATATATTATTATTACATTTATTAATTATATAATTAATAAATTAATAAACTGATTTTGACCGACGGCTGATCGGCGGCCATTGGACGCCGTTGACCAGCGAGATACACTTTTTTCTGCCATTTGCAACCTTTCCACCTCTAGCTGCCCCTTGATGGAGCTCTGAGCACCATCACCGTCGGAAATAGAGATGCCGGGAGACGAACCCCGCCGCAACAGTGACTCCGGGATACGAACCTCGCTGCAACAATGACACCTTGAGACGAACCTCGCTGCAACAGTGAAGCCATGCTCTTTGACCGCTCAGTTCCGCGGAAAATGGTCCCTTCTTCATCTGCAATTTTTCCGGCAACAGTCCCGCTGCCCGCTCAGTTCATCAGAGAACCCCTCTGGCAACAGTCTCGCTGTCCGCTGCCCGCTTCATCACCTCCGGCAAGCAATGGCGTCTAACCGCCATCAGTCGTGATGTCGCCTCTAGCAACGAGCGTCTGCATCACCTTCGCAGCATTGACGACCTGCCGCGACGGTTCGAATCCACCTCTACGCAGCCTTCATCTCCACCATGGTCTGAGCGGGCACCCTTCGTCCAGCCTGAAAGTTGATTTCAGATTTACGGATTGGACTTCATTTTGTAAATTAGATAACATTTAGGGATCCACTTGCAATTTCAGTAAATTAATAGTTATTGCAATTAAATCCTTGGGTTCAATTTATAATTTATTTATAGTTTGAATAATTACAATATGGCCCTAGAGTTTTTCAATTATAAAAGTAATGCACATTTCGTTTATTTCTTGTGCATATTTAGATAATACACAATTCATATTTTATTTATAGACATTGCATACTTAATTGAGAATAAGAAATGCATATTTAATTCATAATGAATATTTAGGTCATTCATGATGCATATTTTGTTCATACAAAATGCATATTTAGTTTATTCATAGTGCATATTTGTTATATTTAAATTTAAATATATAATGATGCATATTTGTTAATGCATGGAGATGCATATTTAGTTCATCCATAGTGTATATTTCTTATATTTAAATTAAATATATATCATTATATATATTTAGTTCATACGAAATGCATATTTAGTTCAACCATAGTGCATATTTATTATATTTAAATTAATTATATACACGATGCTTATTTAGTTCATTCATTATGCATATTTAGTTCATACGGAATGCATATTTAATTCATTCATAGTGCATATTTATTATATTTAAATTAAATATATAATGATGCTTATTTAGTTAATTCATGATGCATATTTAGTTCATAGATGATGCATTTTTAGTTCATCTATAGTGTATATTTATTATATTTAATTTAAATATATACATGTGCATATTTAGTTCATTAATGATGCATATTTACTTTATACGAAATACATATTTAAATTAATACGAAATGCATAGTTGTTATATTTAAATTAAATATATAATTATGCAAATTAGTTAATTTATGATGCATATTTAGTTCATACGAAAAGCATATTTAGTTCATCCAGAGTCCATATTTGATATATTTAATTTAAATATATACATGTGCATATTTAGTTCATACGAAATGCATATTTAGTTCTTTCGAAATGCATATTTAGTTCATCCATAGTGCATATTTGTTATATTTAAATTACATATATACATGTGCATGTTTAATTCATTCATGATGCATATTTAGTTCATACGAAATGTATATTTAGTTCATAAGCAATGCATATTAGTTCCTGTGAGATACAATCATAGCGCGCTATTTATTTGTATAGATTAATGACTTATATTAATCAATTGAAATTTAAATTTATTATATAATAAAAATTATTTTTTATTTTTTTAAATAAATTATATAAATTGCACATTTTATTACATATTTTTGCTGTATATTTAGTTCATTCATGATACATATTTAGTTAATAACAGGTTCAGTTTATAAAAAGTGCATATTTAGTTGATATTATTGGTGCATATTTAGTTCATGAGGATTGCATATGTAATTCATACCCCATGCATATTTAGTTAATATTAAGTGCATAGTGTCGAAAGTATATTTACTTCATACATGATGCACTAAGGTCAACGGGTCAACGACGGAAGTCAACGGTCAACACCGTAGTCAACGATCAACAATCAATATTCAAAATAATATTTCGATAATTATAATAATAAAAATAAAGAATTAAATAATAAAAATAAAGAATTATTATTTAAAGAAAGAGTTAAATCTTGTCCACACATCTTGATACCTATCTGTGGCTAGGAATGAGTCTCACATACTCACTTTAAATATGTGGACTCATTGGAACCAATGTCTATATATATATATATATTTGTTGTTAATAAATACTATAGATACATAATAATGTACATAACATTTACATTAAGTGAGATCCACCAAAAATAAAAAAATTAAGTAGACCTCACTTAATGTGAGTGTTATGTATACCTACATGTATATTTATTACCTATTTGTATCAGTTTTCTTTGTTTTGTGATCATCCAAAGCAGAAGGAAGCAAATAAGGATACGAATGGTTTGTTTACACGTGGCATGATTGTTCATTTGTCTTACTAGTCAAGTGTGGGCCGGGCTAATCGAAAAGCTATACGTGTAGAGAGAGTACGTTTTGTATATATATGTATATATATGGCAGCTGTACATATATGTGTGTACTTGGAACTTTGACAGACATTTTGAGTACCTTGACAGTTTTCTTATGTAGGCCTTTCACCTTTTCTTTCGCTACACACATCACCATGCAAATTAGGAGGCCTTTTGCATCTATTACACACATATTTTACTCTAATATATTTCTGCAATTGTATATTAGTGTATTATCTCATGGTCGGATATATATACGTACACTACATATAATTAACTAAATGCGAGTTCCTAATATGAAATTGATGTGCACAATTATATGTATAATTCTATACGCTTATATTTGTTGATGAAGATAATGGTTAAAAGAAGTGTGAAGGGAAATGTGTGAAGATGATTTTTTTTTTATCTTATTTTTGTTTTTTTTTGTTTTTTTGAGGATTTGGCTGGGTAGTTTAAGTGATATTCTATGCCATGAAGCCTGCAAATGAAGCAATCCCATAATCAAATGAGTAATCATGTAATATCTTGATAGAAAGTGAGTTTTACTCTTTATGCTGAAGTTAAAGTTTGCACATTTAATTTGTAATCATAAATTAATTCTAAAAATTGATTGTATGTATATATGAATTCGGTAAAAGACATTATGTATATGAATTCATAATGGTTATTTATATGGCAAAATTGTATACTAATGCACCACATTTCATGTTTTGCAATTTAATCACCACCTTAGAAATTTTGCACATAAATACACCAACTTTACCATTTTTGCAAATCGATACATGAATGATGGTTCCGTTAAGAAAAATCTGACATGACATTGAGCCACGTCAATGTCATGTCAGATTTTCGCTAGATTTTTGTAACGGAACCGTCAATCACGTTTCAATTTGCAAAAATGGCAAATGTGTTGTATTAATTTGCTAAATTTCAAAGTGTTGATTAAATTGCAAAAGCATGAAAGGTGGTGTCTTAATATGCAATTTACCTTATTTATATCTGTATTTAGGGGGTCTTTTATTTACGGGTCTTTTGACATGCTATGATAGGAAGAATACTGAGAGCATGTTTGTTTATAACAATTTTTGGTTTTGTTTAGATTTTTTTATTTGGTTTGGTTAATTTTGAAAAATGTGGTATGGTTAGTTGTTAGTGAGTATATTAAAATAATATTTAAAATAAAATAATAAAAATTGATTTGATGTAAAAGTAGGAGAAGGAGATTTGAAGTGATAGTTAGTTAAAATAATTTGAGTGGATGAATAGTGAATTAAAGATATGGTGTGTATGAATGATAGATTGATATTATTTAATTATATTGATAATTTTGATGATAGTAGGGTTGAGTTAAAGTTGAATTAAAAAAAGTGGTTGAGTTAAAATGTTAGAAATTTTTTGAAAATTTTCATAAACAAACATGCTCTGAAGTTTGTGTTGTCTAGATAGGACCACGAAAATCGGTCTGAGTTGATGTAATACATTCAAAATACGTGTGGCTCATATTTGCGAATTTTTCAAGCCTATTTGTTAATGACTAAAAGAGTATGTTGTCGCAAAATAAAAGATGGTTAGGATGTTAAAATTTTTAGAATGTTCCACTAGGCCACTGTGTTAAAAGCCAGGATAGGTGGACCCGGACGCTCCAATGTTCATCTAGGTGGCCCCTTCTTGGCGTTAGGGTAATTAGGCGCCGCCCAGATGGTCTAAACAATTGAAAAGTTAGTAATGCATAAACTGATTAGACAGTTTAGCTGGCAGCGCTATTTGGTTTGTAGTATTTTTGGGCATGTGGTAACCGAGCTACCCGACTTGGGTCGTTCTCAAAGGAAGGTTGTTCGGAGCTTCGTTAACTACCTAGTCGTCAAAGTTACATAACCGAAAATAGGGTCCTATACATTCTACTCGCTTGATGGGGATGGATTCCACGAAATTGAACTAAGAATCTAAAAGCAAATAATGAAAAACGCAAGAATTGAAAGAAAGGTCAAAGCATTGGTTGCATGGAATCTCCATAACTCAAGAAAATAAAAAAAAAACACGAGAAAACATGTTATCATAGTGATTCTAGGTAATCTATCATGAGCTTTCTACACTAAATCATCACGCTTTGAACAAAGTCGAGACCTTTATACTAGATAAGCATGAATAGATTCCCAACACACGAAAGCAAGCAATAAAAATAAAGTAAAAACCTAGAAACGAGCATAAACACAAAATTCAAAGAACAAACTCGAAGTAGTAAGTCCTAAGCAAGGTACTTACTCTCCTATCGCGTGCCCGGACAAAAATAATGAATAAAGCTCGGAACTTGGATAAAAATAAACTTACCGGAATTTCACCTAAAAAATAGAGTCATGGACCTCCCAAACCAAAGCATAAAAAGAAAAGAGAGAAATGGAGAGGATTTCCCAACTTAAAAGTTGGAAAATGAGGGGTGGTGTCAAAATTACAAAGCACAATGTCTTTATATAACTACACCACAAATACACACTAAAAACACGCACATTTACTATCACACTCTCGAGGTCTCCAAATTTTCCGCGAGGTCGCGAGTCGGAAAGGCTCTGACAGGGCATGGGCGCGACACTCTCGACATAGCGGAGCATGGCGCGAGGCGCGGACTGGGTAGGACACTCACGAGGTCGCGGACACGCCCGCGCGGTCGTGAGTGCTGGGCGCCGCGACACTCACGAGGTCGCCGATGGATTCGCGCACGCCGGAGCTGGGGCTTCACTGGTGGACTCGCGGCTATCGAGGATTTCGCGAGTGCAAGTGTCAAAACTCACAGGCAGGGCGGCATGTAGCTAGGCACTCGCAGGCAAAGGCTGGCTCGTGGGCGTGAACGTCGGAACTCGCGGACACGCATCATATGGCAAGGACTCGTGGGGGAGGGGCGTTTCGAGGGCGCGGAACTACAAACTCGCGCGCCTGGCAGCACTCGCGCCTTGGAGTGGGGTTCGCGCTCGCGGGCATGGGTCTAGCAGCTCGCGGGTAGGTGCGACTCGCGGGCGCGGGCTTGAGGTTCCGGGAAAGATCCCGGTGACCCCTTGAGGTTCGGTTCGCTCTAATTCCTCGCACGATTCTCCGATTGGCTCGAAACTTTGACCCACGCTTCTCAAATATTCTTCTCCTCGTCTTGAGATGTGTAAATGGGTGTCATCTCGCAATTAATAAACATTCTCGGAACGACTCGGATATGTTTCGCGTGGTTCGGACATGATTCAGACAGCTCAGAAATGTCTCGAAAATGGCTCGTAATCCCAAACTCAACTAATGTGGACCTGCACAACACCAAAAAGACAAGAAAAATATGCCGAACCACAAAAACACAATAAAAGAATAAAAATGCACGAAACATGATAAAATGGACCGGTCGACACTAAAACGAACCTAAAAATACTAAACTAAAGCACATAAAATACACGAAAATGAGCACAAAAACACAATAAACACCTATAGTTCAGACGCCGCTTAGGTTCACATACAATTTTTTTTAAATTTATAAAAAATGAATTTTGATTTTTATACGTGAAATATGTTAGTGTTATATACTGAAATCTTGACATTGGATGATATTACACTTTTGTCCTTGATGAATGATTAAATAAGTTCTATGTTCTGTTGTTTTGCACTTACATAAAATGGTTCATCACAGATGGACAAGAGATCATTTTATCAGTCACTTGCGAAACAAGAACTATTGGTTCACAACCTAGATGGAAATGAACAAACCATCGGAACAGTTATAGTTCAACGGTACAGTTTATCTTGACTGATTAGTTGCACTAGTACAATTATGTATTGAACAGGATCCCCGAGAGTAACAATTTATTTTATACTAATCCTCGTAATTACAAACCTAAGTCTCGGTTAATACTACGTTCTCTTAACCTGTAAGATATTAAACAGACATATACATGAAGTATTTATTATTTTGATTCACTTGGGTGAGATTCAGTTCGTTGGGTCAATAATCTTACTATCTTGGGTAATATTGTTATGTGTATGATGTGTTGTTAGCATATTTACGGTCACCATGTGCATTTGATGATGTCCCCGTGTGAGTTCATGAATGATTGTTATACTAAACCCTGCAGGTTGATTAAGTTCCGGCATAATAATAATGCAATGAACGAGCGCTAGCTTTGGTAATATAATATATTAATTAATTTTTGATTATCAGTAATCAAATTAATTAATGGACATTATATCTTAAACATGGAGAGGTAATTCGGGTAATTATAATTGGAGTCTCAAATGTAATTTGGGATAGGAAAAAGCAGTGAAATAATATTATGTTAGTGGACTGTAATATTATTTAAGTAATTGGAAGAGTGGGCTTGGACCGCAGCTAGTCCAATACTTAAGAAGCCCTAGTCCTGTTCTCCTGAGGATCCCTATTATAGCTCTATATATACATCATTAAGCTCATTGAATAGAAATAGAAGAGAAAATCCTACGTGCATACAAACACATGCATGCCCTCGTCTCTCTCTCTCTTTAGAATTCAAGTTGAGTTTTATCTTCTTCCCGTTGCTCTACCGGTAAGGGTTGAAGAGGTGTTTGAGTAATACAGTAGAAGATTCCGTGGTAATCGAGACCCCGTGATCATATATATTCATCATCCCCGGAGGACCACCGTCACCGACCACCGCCACCACCGTGACCCGCTGGACAGTTGTCGCGAGCCACGAACAACCGACGACAGTCGGACTACTGCCGCGACAAGACAATGCGAGCAGTAGCAAGTCACCGAGCCTAGACTGACTACGCCGCAGCACGCGAGCCCGAGACGACTGCGACCTCCGTCGACCTCCGCAGCACCCCACGAGCCCGACACCGTCGATCCCAGCCCCGCACGATCCCAGCGTCTCCGACATGCTGCTCCCAGTCATCCCATCTGATTCAATATGTCAGATTCAAAAAATTTTAAGCCGTAAGTTTTCTAAGTCAAACCTTTAGATTTGTTGCGCATAGGTTTACGTTTGCTATTGAAATCGTAATTTGTACATAACGAGATCCTCACAGATCCCAACAATTGGTATCAGAGCACTTGGTTAATTCGTTTTGTACAAAGTTCGATTTTTTACGGCTTTATTCGACAAGATGTGTTCAAACGCAGCCATTTATATTGGATTGTATTCGCATAAATTTGTTTTGCAGGAATTAGTTTAATCCACTATTATAGCCGTATATGTGCTTGATGAATGTTGTTGAATGTGATGAATGATATTAATTTGTTTTAAAAGCCTCAGACATGTGGAGGAATTTAATGGATGAATGTTTGTAATAGTTATTCGCCCGGTGGGACACCAGATAGATTTAATTATTTGTTTAGATAAACATGTAAATCCATTTGCTGGATCTAGGATTAGATCATGAAATTTTGAAAATTATATCTTTTGTATTGCGATCGTGTGTTGATGACCGGGAGATCACAAAGATCAACGAGCCTAGACGACCCAGTCGAAATTGGGCCCAGGCATCA